AGCAGGAAACATTAGCCCTAACTTTAACACTTTGGGGGCTGTAGTACTAGAAAGTAACAAGGCCGACTTGGGACAGTAACACCTGTCTCTCTGGAAGCATCTCCTTTGCACAATGACACAGGTCCAGATACAGTCTTAGAGATGGAATAAACCCAACAATCTGGAGAAGCTGGCAGATTTAGTGACCAGACATGTGGAAGGATGGGCAGCCACTAATCCTCTTGTCCTTCACGTCACCCGTGTTGAGACCTCAGCTCGGTACACAGGTGATACAAGGTAATATGGACTCCACCCTGCAAACTGCCAGCACTACCACACACCAAATGACAGAGGATGCTGACATCATTTGTATTAGGCTCCAAGCTTCCAACAGACAAGGCTATCTGATATTTATTTGCAAGGCTGATATATTGTCAAAATTACCCATTGATATGCCTAGAATGTGATTTAGGTCAGTACACTGTGATTCTTAGAAAAAAAAGAAAAGAAAAGATGAACAGTGAGAAGGAAGCTGGGGAAACGTCCCAATGAAATTCTCTGGTCTCTACAAGCACATTTCTAAGCCTTTGAGACTGTTCCTGAACCTTTAGCACCAGGAATCCATGAGGGTCAGCTGGTCCTCTCTATAGGTACATCATACCTAACTGTACTAAGTAATCTTCCAAGCTTTCCAATACTCAATTCTAAACTGAAATGCATTTAGCTGGACTGTTGAACTGGCTTAATAGAGTATATTCTTATTAACTAGAATGTAATCAAAGCTTAAAATAAAGTTAATCTGACTGTATTTGCATCTGCACAGAAGTGAACACTTTTACTCTTCAATACAACATGTTACTAACCACAGCTGCTCAAGAAACCACCCTTCTTTAGCAGTAGATAACCCACCCTGGAGAGTGAAACAAGCACCTCTCCTTTAGAGAAAAGGACTCGAATGGGTAATGATGTTACAGTTAGCTTTCCTCACTGCTCTCTCTACATTTTATTAACCTCATGCACCAAAGGAGCAGGTTTGGTTCAAAAATCAGTTTCCAGAAACTGTAAAATCTCTGTAGATACTTTTTCATGAATAATCCCATGAATCATTATGGTGACCCAGTGGACAAGCCAGCAGGCATACCTATCATAATTGACACCTTTTGTGGTCTTAGAACAGAGATGGGAAATATATGACAGATATGTATCAGAGGTCCTATATTCATGGCAGACATCACTGAACAATTGCATCTTAGATAGGGCCTCAGGATCCTTCTGCACACAGTACTCCAAGCAGCTATTACCAACTGATAAGGAGTGTTGGCACTCAAAATAAAACCTGTTCGCCATACCTACCTCAGAGCCAGCCCATCCCCTTTGACAACTGGGACTCTACACTGTGTAATAATGCTGTGGCTCTAAAAATCATATTTTAGTACTGGTAACAAGCAGTGTATCTCAGATAGCAGCAGAGACTCTAAATTCTAGTTTTTGCCTGTTATAGTCCTCTATTCTTTTTTTTTTTTTTTGTCAGTATGCGGGCCTCTCACTGTTGCGGCCTCTCCTGTTGTGGAGCACAGGCTCCGGACGCGCAGGCTTAGCGGCCATGGCTCTCGGGCCCAGCCGCTCTGTGGCATGTGGGATCCTCCCAGACCGGGGCACAAACCCATGTCCCCTGCATCGGCTGGCGACTCTCAACCACTGCGCCACCAGGGAAGCCCAGTCCTCTATTCTTTGAATGAATCCTTATTTGTGTTATAGCTTCGATGACTAAAGAGGGGTAACAATACTTTTATTTTCCCAAGGTTCTTCTGGGAGTATATCAAGCAAGCCTTAATAACAACACATGCAAAACTGTAGATAGATAGATAGATAGATAGATAAAGAGAGAAATGGTTGAGTGAGAGAGAAATGAGACTGTATGAATATGGTTGTGTTTCAAATAATTTTACTGTATCAACCCTTTAAAAAAGTAAATATTATTATTTCCAACCTGTTGAGAAGCTATAAAGGCCTAGGAAGCCATGCATGGAGGCAAACCAAGCTGGGGTGGGAGCAGGCAGTGAAACCAACCTCTGCTTTACTGTACGCTCTTTAAATCTCATTTTATCTCCCGGAGTTTTAAGAATACTGAATTAAAACCAACTCAAAACTATTTGAGGAGTTTCAGTATAATAACAAATAAAAAACGCACAAATTTGTAATAGGAATATGAGGTGAAATGGAGTTTGCTCTAGACTCACTGGCAATCAAAAGTCACAAAGTTCTAGGTGTAAATTTATCATTGATGAACATCCTTCCAATGTTATTTTAAAATAGTCCACCCAAACATCCATTTATTCATCTTTTCTACCTCCAGCCATCCTCCCACCATCCAGCCTGCCAACATTCCAACCACCTGTCCATCCTTTATTCCAACCATCCATTTAGCCATCCATCACTCATTAATTATTGTATGCAAGCATGAATTCAACAAGTATTTATTGAACATTAAGCATCATACTAGAGATTCAAAGATAAAAAGCCCATGGTCCCTACCCAGAGAGAGTTCACAACGCCAGAAGGGAAGCCAGAGAGATAAATAGATAAAATATGTATAAAGTATATATTTATCAATCTGTATTTAGATGGGGATAGGTATGTTGATAGAGGTATATATCTAGAGTACCATGGGAATAAAGAGAAAAAGATGCCTGAAAAACATCCCCTAGTACCTCCAAGAGTAACAGAGAAAAGATTTAAGTTGCATCTTGAAAAAACAAAAGGAAAGGAGGTAAGTTGGAGAACATTAGACAGAGAAGAGCTCAGGTAACAGCCTAGATGAGGGAAAGAGGACGACCCTTCTTGGGAACTGCAGTTACCTTGGTCTGGGGGGATGGTGAGTATCCAGCAAGGAGAGGCTGCGCTCTTTGTATTCACATCATAATGACTCATGGGATCATTCATTAGAAAGTAGCTACAGAGATTTTAGCCACAGGAGTGCAGGTATGAGTCAGAGTTGGAGCACTTCCAGGAACTAGACTTTGTTCCTTGTAGGCTGTGTTGTGGAGAAAGGCTAGAAGAAGTTGCTGATCAAAAACTGGATTCAGGGCTTCCCTGGCGGCGCAGTGGCTGGGAGTCCGCCTGCTGATGCAGGGGACGCGGGTTCGCGCCCCGGTCCGGGAAGATCCCACATGCCGCGGAGCGGCTGGGCCCGTGAGCCATGGCCGCTGAGCCTGCGTGTCCGGAGCCTGTGCTCTGCAACGGGAGAGGCCACAGCAGTGAGAGGCCCGCGTACCGCAAAAAAAAAAAGAAAAGAAAAAACTGGATTCAGAGCTAAAAACTACGGTGGGTCCAGGAGGGACAAGCGAGTATGGGGTAGAATACCCATTCAGGTCAGGAAGGAGGGTAGACGACGGGGCGTGGCTACGTTTGGGTTCAGAGACGGGAAATGAGGTGTACTAGGGCCCAAGTGGATACAGTGGGAGAGGAAGTGTGTCGGGGGAGCCATCCATCTCACAAATGGATCCAAGTGTGTGACAGGCAAGTTCCTAGACGCTAAAATTTGACCATCCCCACTACCAGGGGCAGGGACTGCTAGAGGCCCAGGATCTTGCCCCCTAGGGCCGTGCTCACCTCTGTCCTAAAGGCAAAGCTGTACCCACGAGAGCCCACTGCTTCCAGAGACACTCCTTCCCCTCGGGACAAGCTTCCCTCTGCCCTCAGCACCTCAGCTCAGTTCGACTCAGTTTTACCCCCATAAGCCTCTACAGAGGAATGAAAACAAGAAAACCACATCAACATCTTCTGAATGTGTCTGTCAGAAATCTATAAAAACAAACACAGAAATAAATGAGAAGGGGGAAAAAAAGCACCTCAGTTGCAGCAAGAAAAGTTACTAGGAAATTTTGTTCACCTCAACTGCCAGGAGTTTGGGAACATCTTCTAGCTTCAGAGATAATGGACATTTTTAAAAGATGCTTGATAAGCTTGCTGCTAATACAATTCATGAACTCCCGTTAATTTTCACACTAATCATGGTTCTAGGACTTCAGTAATTATCTAAGCAATGTTTCACCACCCTGAAACTAATTCAAACATA